AGAACATGATGAGCATCTTGAAAATTGACTTACTATAAACATATTTATCCTCCCTCCCATTTTTTTAAGAAGACAAGCTTTTTTTTTTCTTTAGAATGATTTTGAAGTCTGAGAGATACAACAAATACATTAATTTTTTTAGGACCAAGTACATTCATAAAATTGTTTTAGTCTATAAAGTGGTTTAGCAGCACTTTGTCAGTTGGGCCAACGTGATTAGAAATTCAGTTTTATGACATCCTTTTCCCAAATAAACAAAATAACCAGAGAGAACAGTGAAGTCACAATCCATTTAATACTCATAAAAGCTTCCTGTTGATGTAGGTTTAGAATTGGGCAGTTGAAGTAACTATCCGTCTTGCTTTTAGAGTAATTGCAATTTAAATGTGATCCCAGAGCACAACAACCCTGGCAATGAACCACCTTGCCTTTGGAACCCCTTTTTATCAGTGTGTGCCTTTGAAGCAGAACTAAAAGGAAATAAAATAATTTTCAACATACTATTTCTTTTCCTGAAGTAATTTGTCCCAGTTAATTTGCTGAATATAGGGCATCCAAAGAACCAGTGTTCATGCTATTTTAATGCACTGAAAACATGGTTCTGTTTGCTGTACTTTATATTCCTTTCTGCAAAAAGAAAATTATTGCTGTCAACCATTTTTATAAAGCTTGTGCTTTTCTGAGTGTATTATAGAAGATTTTATTATTATTTTACTTTTACCACCCTTAAGAATTAGGCTATATGATATTCCTATTTTATCTGCCATTCAAAATTCAAAATCTACTTCTATGTGCCTCCTCTGAAAACAACTGAACATTATGTTTTCATCATCACTTATATGACAGTGAATAAACACGCCAAACTGGATGAAACAAAGAAAATGTTACATTTCTGGCATATGTGTACCTCTGCCTGCTGGAGTTATTCCTAAAACAGTGGTGCTGCCCTCCAGTTGCCCTCGGCCAGGTGTATTGTCAAAAGCTATAATTTTGAATCAAACTCCCCAACTTTAATGACTTAGACTTTCATATTCATTAATTAATAAGTATTTTTAAGCAAGTCAGTAAATAAAATGTCTGTATTTCCAAGAAGGAAGAAGTAGTCCATAAAGTTTTTAATTCAATAAACTTAATACATTTAATTAATTTATATTTTAATTTGCTGTCTGTCAAATGTCATGTCATATTATGTTCTCATATTGAACATCATTTACTGAGAACATTCTATGTTGAAATATGATAAATAAGTTATCAGTCCATCAAATAAGATAAAAACTTTCAAAATGTTGAAAATTTATTTGCTTTTAAAATACTCTGATCATAAGAATATTTAATCTCTTAATATTATAGGTATTCAGTAAGTGTCAGATCTGACATGAAAAGATATTTCAGCCCTGCTGATGATGGAGCCTCATGGTTCCATTTATAAAAACCCCCTTTTCTCAAATCACAAATTCTCTTTCTCCTTCCAAATACCAAGAAATTGTCCAGTGTCTAGAAAATTGTGTTCCAAGACAACTGTTCTCACAGACATCTCAACACTTTAATCTTGCCTCATTCAAGTTCTTCCATCCTTATACCTCCTATATAACAAGAATTTCTAGCTCTTCTTTTGCGCACTAAACTTTTCTCTGTAGAATACACCAGCACTGTTTATTTCTCTTCCTCTCATTTTTCTCTCAATCCTGCATTCACAAAAAGCCCAAAACCCATTTGCAAGGTTCAAAACAGTAGCAACTGAAAGTTTAGAAGATAGGAAAAGGGAAAATGCATTTGTTAATAAGTTTGTTTTCTATCAAAATCATTTCAGGGAGGGGGGGTTGTATAGTGTATTAGGATATTTTTTAAGAACCCTTTATTTGCTGACTTGTAGCCAAATGAAGCTAGCAATTTCAGGGATTACAATAGGTATGAATAATTTTCATACTCTTAAGAAAAGGAATGCTGGGTTGCCTTCTTATCTCACTATGCAAAATCAGTATTTAGTTTCAAATTTCTGTGAACACACACTGGACTTTGGAAATCTTATTCCCAGTAAAACAAAATAGAATATGTAAAACAGTTAATCAGTTTCTCTTGAAGTTTATCACCTGATTGGAACATACTGTAAAGGGATGAACAGGACAGAGGTCAAAAGTCTTGGGTTTCATTGGGCCTCTTCTCCATGTTAGCTGTGTGGACTCAAACAAGTTTCAAATAACTGTTCAAGCAGTTTGCTTATATATAATTAGCCTCGTAGAGTTGCTGTGAGAATTAAATATAATGTGCATGAAGCACCTCACAGAGTATCTGACACTTAGTATGTACTGAAATTTCTTCATACAGTTAGTTTTTTAATTAAATATATATTTACATAAATGTGCAAGTTTGTTATGTATTCCTTATTCATGTTGGGTAAATTTAGCTGACAAAATATGGGTAAAATAATAAAGAATACATTTGTCTTTTATTACCTTTGCAATGATTTTTGCCTGTTGTCCTTGGAAGAAATTCCCAATATCTAATGGAAACCTAAAAAGTAAAAAAGAAGAGAAGTGGAAAGGTGAGCTATGAAAGATTAGTAATCAACCATTTCAGGAATAATTACCTCTGTGTGATAACTCTAAATACTGATAAAAGTTGACTTATGACTTCTTAAAGTTAAATTATAAATGTGATTGTGCCAATGATCATTATAAGAACATTAATCTGCCACTTTGGACCGCTGGATCTAATTTTTCTTTAATAAGTTTCATAGTTCAAAAGCTCTCAAATGAGTTAACCAGAAATTCATAAGCAATTTATCACATGAACACTCAAAGTCAACTGAGCAGTGCAATATATTAAACTCTATATTTACACATACAATTTTTATTAGACATGTATTTACTCAAATTACAGAAAATATTCAAAAGCTTGAATGAAACCATGCATGTTATCTCTGCTTAAAGTAAAGAACACCTTCATGAATTTTTGTGATAAAAATGTTCTTTTTCTGAGTTCAAGTAATTTCAAATTTTCATCACCAAAGTGAGCATCATTTCAGATTAGCAAGATGCTATTGCTCAGTTCTAATCTTTCTAGGTCATGTTCATTGAATAAAACAAGAAAAAGCATATATTAAAGGTACTTATCAGTTGGGTAAATATTAAACCTATGCCCTGAAATAGTTAAAAATGTCAAAAATACAGAGATGTTAGATGTACTAAGTGTAATTTAGAGATAGAAGTATCCATGAATGTCCCAAATATACTTTTATTTTGGGGGTTTTGTTTGTGTTGCCTCATATTGTCTTCATTTCTATCCTATATTCATTCATGCTTAGCCTTATGACAAAATATATTTCAAAAATTATGGTTTGAGTAATTTATATGGAAAAAATAGTAAATTAATTAAATGCTTGGGTTAAATAAAGAATACACGAGGTTCATCTCATTCACACTACGCTATGTACTAGATTGGCATATCTGTACCTCTGCCTGCTGGAGTTATTCCTAAAACAGTGGTGCTGCCCTCCAGTTGCCCTCGGCCAGGTGTATTGTCAAAAGCTATAATTTTGAATCAAACTCCCCAACTTTAATGACTTAGACTTTTATATTCATTAATTAATAAGTATTTTTAAGCAAGTCAGTAAATAAAATGTCTGTATTTCCAAGAAGGAAGAAGTAGTCCATAAAGTTTTTAATTCAATAAACTTAATACATTTAATTAATTTATATTTTAATTTGCTGTCTGTCAAATGTCATGTCATATTATGTTCTCATATTGAACATCATTTACTGAGAACATTCTATGTTGAAATATGATAAATAAGTTATCAGTCCATCAAATAAGATAAAAACTTTCAAAATGTTGAAAATTTATTTGCTTTTAAAATACTCTGATCATAAGAATATTTAATCTCTTAATATTATAGGTATTCAGTAAGTGTCAGATCTGACATGAAAAGATATTTCAGCCCTGCTGATGATGGAGCCTCATGGTTCCATTTATAAAAACCCCCTTTTCTCAAATCACAAATTCTCTTTCTCCTTCCAAATACCAAGAAATTGTCCAGTGTCTAGAAAATTGTGTTCCAAGACAACTGTTCTCACAGACATCTCAACACTTTAATCTTGCCTCATTCAAGTTCTTCCATCCTTATACCTCCTATATAACAAGAATTTCTAGCTCTTCTTTTGCGCACTAAACTTTTCTCTGTAGAATACACCAGCACTGTTTATTTCTCTTCCTCTCATTTTTCTCTCAATCCTGCATTCACAAAAAGCCCAAAACCCATTTGCAAGGTTCAAAACAGTAGCAACTGAAAGTTTAGAAGATAGGAAAAGGGAAAATGCATTTGTTAATATGTTTGTTTTCTATCAAAATCATTTCAGGGAGGGGAGGTTGTATAGTGTATTAGGATATTTTTTAAGAACCCTTTATTTGCTGACTTGTAGCCAAATGAAGCTAGCAATTTCAGGGATTACAGTAGGTATGAATAATTTTCATACTCTTAAGAAAAGGAATGCTGGGTTGCCTTCTTATCTCACTATGCAAAATCAGTATTTAGTTTCAAATTTCTGTGAACACACACTGGACTTTGGAAATCTTATTCCCAGTAAAACAAAATAGAATATGTAAAACAGTTAATCAGTTTCTCTTGAAGTTTATCACCTGATTGGAACATACTGTAAAGGGATGAACAGGACAGAGGTCAAAAGTTTTGGGTTTCATTGGGCCTCTTCTCCATGTTAGCTGTGTGGACTCAAACAAGTTTCAAATAACTGTTCAAGCAGTTTGCTTATATATAATTAGCCTCGTAGAGTTGCTGTGAGAATTAAATATAATGTGCATGAAGCACCTCACAGAGTGTCTGACACTTAGTATGTACTGAAATTTCTTCATACAGTTAGTTTTTTAATTAAATATATATTTACATAAATGTGCAAGTTTGTTTTATGTATTCCTTATTCATGTTGGGTAAATTTAGCTGACAAAATATGGGTAAAATAATAAAGAATACATTTGTCTTTTATTACCTTTGCAATGATTTTTGCCTGTTGTCCTTGGAAGAAATTCCCAATATCTAATGGAAACCTAAAAAGTAAAAAAGAAGAGAAGTGGAAAGGTGAGCTATGAAAGATTAGTAATCAACCATTTCAGGAATAATTACCTCTGTGTGATAACTCTAAATACTGATAAAAGTTGACTTATGACTTCTTAAAGTTAAATTATAAATGTGATTGTGCCAATGATCATTATAAGAACATTAATCTGCCACTTTGGACCGCTGGATCTAATTTTTCTTTAATAAGTTTCATAGTTCAAAAGCTCTCAAATGAGTTAACCAGAAATTCATAAGCAACTTATCACATGAACACTCAAAGTCAACTGAGCAGTGCAATATATTAAACTCTATATTTACACATACAATTTTTATTAGACATGTATTTACTCAAATTACAGAAAATATTCAAAAGCTTGAATGAAACCATGCATGTTATCTCTGCTTAAAGTAAAGAACACCTTCATGAATTTTTGTGATAAAAATGTTCTTTTTCTGAGTTCAAGTAATTTCAAATTTTCATCACCAAAGTGAGCATCATTTCAGATTAGCAAGATGCTATTGCTCAGTTCTAATCTTTCTAGGTCATGTTCATTGAATAAAACAAGAAAAAGCATATATTAAAGGTACTTATCAGTTGGGTAAATATTAAACCTATGCCCTGAAATAGTTAAAAATGTCAAAAATACAGAGATGTTAGATGTACTAAGTGTAATTTAGAGATAGAAGTATCCATGAATGTCCCAAATATACTTTTATTTTGGGGGTTTTGTTTGTGTTGCCTCATATTGTCTGCATTTCTATCCTATATTCATTCATGCTTAGCCTTATGACAAAATATATTTCAAAAATTATGGTTTGAGTAATTTATATGGAAAAAATAGTAAATTAATTAAATGCTTGGGTTAAATAAAGAATACACGAGGTTCATCTCATTCACACTACGCTATGTACTAGACCACAATTGTAGCTGAGCATTAGTAGGTGCTCAGTCAATATTTATTGTTAACATTTAATTAGTTGTCTTTCAAAATGTCATATTGATTATTTTCTCACTCTGAGTATCATTTTTGAGCAAACACTGTGTTAAAATGTTAAGGAATTTAAAAATAAGTAGAGTCCATCAAATAAAATATAAACTCTCAAAATGTTGAAGATTTTTTAACTCGGAATACTTTGAACATAGGAATATTTAACTTCTTAATTTTAGCAGTTTGTATGGTTTGCAGTAATCACAATTTGTAAAACTTTTGTCAGAACAAGGGAAATATAGAAGAAGATTTGTATGTAATTTTAGGGTTATTACAACTCTCAAAATAGAAATAAGCTGATCATTTCTATCTTCTTCATTTTTTCATTAAAATTCAAACAAGGAAATAAAGAAGAGAAATAGGAAATCTGTAATTTACTGAAAAAACTCAGAAGTCACTAACATGTTTGCTTTGATAAGATTAAATTTCTGCCACTAATAGAACTAGCTCATTGAAGTAAATATTTTTCAACTAAGAAAAAAAGAAAACTAGATTTATTTATTCAAAGGTATATTTTCTGAAGTGAAAATTTCTGCAAATGGTAAGTATTAGTTGAATCTTTGCTATTTTTGTCCAGGTATATCTTTTGTGAACAAGATAATTATTTCGTTTAACCTATATTCTGAGTTCATCTATATATATTTTCTTTCTTTCCTCCAAGATTCATAAAATTAATTTTTATTTTCTTTCTTACAGGTTTTCTTTTTTACTCTGATCGTGATCACTGTTCTTTGTTGTATGCTATTCTTAAAATGCAGGGTTTCAAACTGGGGTATTATTTTCTAATAATTGTTCATGATAGTTAAGCAGAGGTGGGCTTGCTTCAGTCTTTACTAGCAGGCACTCCAGCCTACTTGCTGCCGTTTAAAAAACTGATCTAATACTGACTCTCAAAGAAGATGCTCTATTTGAACCTATGTAGAGATGACTTTTTAAAAGTTGTAGGCATGTTCTTCACATACTTAAGTATAATTTATTTCTTCCAAAATATTGCATATCTTTCTTTTCTCAGCTTGTTATTTCATTTTTAAAATCAGATCCCAATACTTTCACCTGACCTGAATCTTGGTTTCACTGCTAATGTGGTAAATATGCTTTTTTACTTTCAGAGAAAATTAAAATTCAATGGTTTACTATGGATCAGTTAGTAAAATTTATGCTCTAAAGATAGCTAGAATATATACAAAAAAATAAAGGATCAGTTCCCTTTTAAATAATGAAATGAAGAAAAAAGCAAAACTATGTTTTCAGACATTTATTTGTTTTTATGTTTATTAGAGAAATAAATATAGGGTTAATAGTAACTATATATGGACTTATTCACCTGGATGATATTTCTGGAATGCATAAAACACCTCCAATGTACCATTTTTGACACACTGTTTTCTTTCATAGCTAAAGAACCTGAGGATCTTGGATACTGGGCTAACAGAGTAATCCTCAATCTCAGGTTCTTTTCTGTATTTTAGATATAAGCACTTATAAAGAACTGGACAGTTCAAATCACCAGGTCTATAACCTTTTATAAATAGCATTTGGGAACCAAAGCAACTTTAAAAGAG